CCCCAAAACCCCAAAACCCCAAAACCCCAAAACCCCTTTATGTTACCATTTGCATATTATTACGATTATAGATTTAAATTTGAAATTTAAAATGGCAGATTACAATCAAGATGGCGAATAAGAATTTTAATTCTAATAGGAAAATGATGGAGTAAACAACTAATTCTTTGATCACGGTCTTGGAAATTTTGAAAAAACTAGAGAAAGAGAACAAGAGGAACTAGAAAGGCAGATAAGAGCAGAATAAACATAAAAATAAGTAGACTATCATAAATCAAGCTAGGAAATGAGAGACAAAACGAGAACTGGAGGAAACTACCTACCAATAAAAACAAACTTAAAACAAGCTTACTCTCCATTCCATATTTTTGTGAGTGGTCACATTGAGTCAGGGTAAATAAATGACTATGATGGCCTTTGCTGTAAATATGATTTTGTGGCTGGAACTGATTGGCAAATTATTGATGTAAAACACTTTATCAAACTCATGTTTTATTTAGGGAAATAGAAGTGGAGTGTCTTAACACAGCTATAAAAGTTAACAAACAAATAGAAGAGTTGTTTGGAACTATCCATTTGAACTAGCTTTTAGCTCTACAAATGTTACTGGTTGGCCTTAGTTGGTTCTGACTATGACTAACAGAGACTTCTTTGGCAGAGATTAAATATGTGGTTATGGTACAGTTCACATCCCAACATAGCCAGGTTCACATTATAGATACTTAAATGTTTTTCAACCTATTTCAAGTTCTCTTTTATCTTAGGTCTTTGGGTGGTTCAAAGGTAAAAATGCTGAGTTTATAAATCCAATTGAATTGCTATCAAAAAACGAAGGAAGAGAAGTCACAAGAGTTATATCAACTGGAGTTATTAAAATACAATTCCATGTTACAGTCAAAAATATGGATGAGTACGGTATTTTCCCATTCAAAGCCTGATCAATTCTTGACTATAGATTTAATATAAATGCTGGTAATGATAATAATGTTTGTTATACTGATATTTTAGAAATTTAATGAAATCAGTTAATAAAAACTTAATCTATTAAATTAGTAATCTTTGCATTCCTATCATATATTCAATCATCTTTTGTCAAATAAATCGTTGAGATCCTTAGCGTAATTGCTCTTTTTGGAGAGCACAAATTTATCTGGTTTCCAAATTTATTTCTTGCCATTTAAGTACATTGCAATCTCATTACTTCTATCCTGCATCTTCTTAATCACATCAGGATTCATATAATTTTCATAATCTTGAAACTTTTAATAGCCTCTCTCTTTAACAACATCTTGTAAACTTTTGCCATAGAGTAATTCGTCTTTTTCCATGTTTAAGTACTCTTATAAACCCTCTTTGAAAAGTTCATTATCCTTTTAAATCATTTAAGCTCTATTGCAATGTTAGTAAAAATATATGTTTAACTTACTCACTATCTACTTTATTAATAAGCTCTGACTCATGAAGTCTTGACGTGTAATCAGTACAATCATCTAAAATTCTGTTTACATCATCAAATATCTACGAGTTATTCTACTTTTTCTTTGCACATATTTGCTATTCGACGTCAAATCTTGACTTTTGAAAGAAATCATACAAACTCTAAAATCTGTTAGGACTCTCATTTAAACTTCCCCTAAATATTTAAGGTCTGCTACTTTCGATCGAGTATCCCCCGTATTTCATTTTACTGTCATCAATAAGTTTACTTCTATCAGTGAAATCGCTTGATATTTAGTGCTTATTGATTTCAAGGAAGTTTTTTATCTTCATTTACTTTTTTGGTGAGAGAATCCTTTCAAGTATTTCAAACTCTTTGGATTTCATATTATCGAGTGTTCTTTCTGATTGCTAATTATACTATTCATTTTATGCAGTAATAAATGCTACTCTGTCAAAACTTTTGATAGTAGATGGTAGGTGATTGTTAAGACTACTTCTTCTAAATTTTTTTATTTAATTCCAATTGATACTAACTTCTTCCTCCTTTTAAAACATCTTCATAAGATGATCGTTTGGCTAATAATATGTCTTCTTTTCATTCATCGATTAATTTACTCTATTGCAAAACTACTCATATAAAGTTTGATTTTAGATAATTAGGTCAATTCCAAGTCTATCAAAAAACCTCAAAATATCTAGATTATTCTTAGACTCATACTTTTTCTTCATGATATCAATGCTTTTTTAGATCTAAGCCAGCTTAATTTTGTCTTTATGTACTTTATTAGGCATGCCAGATTCATTTGCCTCATTGCGAACATGATCTTCGAGTTACTTCAACATATATTTAGGAGATGTTTAGAGTTTATCCATTTGAAGTTTCTCATCAAACGAATCCTTCACCTTATTCATATTTTTAAAATTCATATTCGTAGAATCGTGACTAGGCCTCTTATCAAAAACTTTCTTAGTATCTACAAGCTTAATCTTTCTAGACTTTTTCAAATTTAAGGTTATTTTTCTTCTATTTTGGTTGAAATAATCATAGATTGATTCATATTATTCAGACTATTCATGATTAGGATTGTATAAATCCGCATATAGAGCAGAAGATTCAGAACTTCCAAGCTAGGGCTTAAATTCTTAATGAAAGAACATATTTTTTCTTAATTCATCTCTAATTGTATCAATTTGGGCTATGTCTTTCGATAGCTTAAACATTCGAGGGACGCTTAGTTCACACTACGAAACTTGTCTTCTTTATGGTTTTTATGATTTAAAATTATCCAATCTGTTAAGGGCTTTTGATGCTTAATTTTCCAAACTAAATTCTGAGCTTTCATGAGGCATTAATTATCTCTAAGTACTCAGAGTGGATATTGATTATCCTCTATATTTCAGTTTCTTCTCCTCATTCTAAATGAGTTGATCTTCATAGTCTGATTGGATGTTTGATAAATTATTTTTCATTCTAGAAGTAACAACTCACTCTATGACCTTTTATTTCATTTTTCTAAATCTCGACAAATTAGGATTGTGATCTAGTTGATCGAAAACTTAGGGAATAATAGGACTTTGCGCTTCAGAATCATCTTTTTTCACTTGATTTCTTATAAGGACTTTAGGGAGTTTCGAGAGGAATTATTCTTTGTCCAGTTTTTACAATTTTTCCATAGATCCAAATTATATTACAATTTAATTTACTATAATACTGCTTTACCCTCTCTAAACGATAATATTTTAATGTGCGGGGTTTTGGGGTTTTGGGG